CTATATTTTGTTTTCCAACAGCCTTTTGTTAATTAGAAAGCTGGAAAAACATCGAGTATTTCGATTGCAGCACAAAAAAAATGGAAGACTTCGATTTATAATCGAATTTTGTGTACAAAATTGAAGACTTTGATGCTAAATCGATTTTTGCCTAGTACATCATCGAAGACTTCGATTCTTTTCCAGCTTGGGTTGGCTTAGAAATAAAGTCATAGAAATGGTAGGAAGTAATGAGTTTCAATAGGTATCCGAAAATAATGATAACATTCATTATATTAGACTAAATTTGTCTTCCTTATTAAGAAATTAAAATAATTAATGAATGCTTATAGAAGCAACTTATTATAATAGAAATTACCCTCCATTTATTCCTCTACAACTTGTATTCTAAACTTCGAAGGCTATTGATTTTGATTTCAATTATAAAATTTTTTTAATTGTAACCCTTTAATTTTAATAGGTTTTTAATTTAAATCATTTCCCTTTGTTCACCGCTTATTGATGGCTTATTTAAAGACCAGATTTGAAATTTAGAGTTGTTATATAATTTTATTTTGAAACATAGTTGTCGCTTCTACGCTCTGTAAAAAATTCGCCCTGGTTTTACCCGCTTGTAGGCGCAATCTTTCGTTTTGCTTGATTCGCTTTATGGGTCCGGTCGCCAAGGCGCGATGATAAGCCCCCACCGGATCGAAGATCGCAGCTGATTCAGTTCTTAGAGCTTTACTAGACTTAAATACCAAATGGTCCAAGGTCCAATGAAAATCATTGAACTGCGAATAATAATTAATCGTGAATGCTTAGTCGCATGTCTATTACATCATCGCTAATCTCTGCCTGCTTTCTCGTTCATCATTTACAGCTAACTGCAACTCGAAGGCCGTCTCAACCCCCCACAACCGCCGCCTCCGCTGCCACCACCGCCGGCTCCACCCCAAGCAACCGGGAACAACAACAAGGCCAAGATGGATTGCATGAACTTCATGGCGGAGACCAATAAAGTGCGTCTTCTCCGTGGATATATCTATGCCGGGGAGCTGCGTCAATTATCGCCGGGGGATCAGGCGCGCTGCCAGGAGCTAAGTCTGCAGCCCTTCTGGCAAGATCAGCCGCTGCTTGTCCAAATCAGCAATGGCTGCGATGGGTCGTTACTGCTGCAGGAACAGTTCGCTGTGATCAATGACGAGAGATTCCTGCAGAGCGTCGAGCGCCAGCAGTTGCTCCTGGAGCTGCGGCCACTAGGCGGTGTTGTGCGGTTGCCGTTGCATCAGTTCTACATTGCCTACCGAGATGCCAGCATAACCAATCACCTGTGCAAGGGAAAGGTTAGTATTCACATTATATATCCTTCGATCAATTAATAAATGTTTGCATCCTTTAGCTCCCAGTGATTTCCATTGATGGCTGGGCCCCAATTATCAGGGCCGATTCGCAATTGGCAATTGGTGAGCTCAAGGTGCTCCTCGCCATCGGCAGTGAGTCGCAGATTGCCCAATTGAAGCAGCAGCGTGGCTTTGACCAAGACAACAATCATGTGGCTGCTCCGGCTCTTCCAGGTCGCACCACCTCTGATCTGCTGGACATGCTTCAGATTGCCATCTCAGCACCGACGCCCAGTAGCTCAACACCGGTGATGCCGCCGCCTCCGGCACCTCCACTTACTTCCGCTAACTTCAGTTTCCAGCTGCGCATCGTTGGAGCAGCTGGATTGCCTCTGAATCCCGGCTATGGAAAGTCCAAGAAGCAGGGCAAACGTCAGGCGGCCGCCAAGCGATTTCCGCCCAACGAACCGCCCAACACCTATGTGACCTTTCAGGCAGCCAATTGCAACAGTCCGACATACAAGTCGCATGAGGGATTGGTCTATGCCACGCCCATTGTGGAGAAGTCAACGAAGCCACAATGGCTTAGCAAGTTCCGGGTGGACGTGAGTCGTGATTACAGAAGCAATGTGAGTTTTTCATCCCTTGAAATCGTTTCCAGATATTAATTCCTTTTCTTTCTCCTATGCAGCCCCAAAAGCTCTTCATTCTGAAGCTATGGAAGAAGGCGATTGTTAGCCCAAACGGCATCACTGAGCCCACGCCCCACGAGGATGCCATTATAGGGTTTGCTGCACTGAATCTCAATCAGAAGCAACCGGGAGGTGGCTTTCCCAGTGGCTGGCACAACATTGTTGACTTTAATGGACGCGTCACAGGCGGAATTGAGGCACATGTGGAACCAATACCGCCTAGTGTGGACAACGTGATTGATCAGTTCGAAAAGTCCATGGAGCTGAGTCACCTGCAGTTGGGTCAGGCCATTAAGCGAAAGTACACGGAGCTGGAGGAGATCTCTCAGCGGTTGCGATCTCGTTTGGTGGACGTAACGGGGGAAACGCTGAAATTTCCTGAATTCGATGTGGACGCAGCGTTGGACAACTGGCAGCAGGATGGTGACGATGATGAGCTGGCGGCCGACTTTGAGCGAGCTCTACGTACTCCTACGCCTCCACCTCCAGCAAGTTCACCAAAGCCCTCCACTAGCACCAGCGCACAACAGCAACATTTTGAAAATGCAAATGGCCAGGAATAGCCCAGGGCCAAGCGTCAGTTAGTGTCAGTGTTTTTTCCCCTCTCATCTGCATCTCGGTGTCGTCTCTGATATTGGCTCAAACTGTAGATGTAGTTAATAGCCATCTCTAGTTATAGCCTATAATATATAATATACACAGATCTTAATCTGATGCTGTACTTAAATTTTTGGCATCCCAGTTTTGCCTCGATTCACCACCCGTCGTCTTATGGCTGTCTATATGAATATAGCATAAAATCAAAGCTAGCAACGATCACCCAGCGATCGTTATATTGCGTTACAATTTGTCGATTGAATATATTATTGTTTTAAGTCACGGAAGCAACCCCAACAACCACACGGAATATGTATTAGTTTTGGAACTGTGTTAATCACCTAAGTATTTAGACACTATTACTTAATACAAATTTAAATAAAAATATAAAATGCTAATGCATAAAAAAGGTTTTGTTTTTTTGGGAGCTAGTTAAACTATCATATAATATATAACTAACTATTTTTGCTATAACTAAGGGGAAAAATATTGTTTACTTGTTCAGTGATAATAATTCAGTTGTTGAACTCACTAAATCGATTAGCAAAATCTGATGAAATTCCGGCTTGCTCTGACTCACACCTAGTAAATAAAAATAATAAATATTTATGGCGAAATGCGCACCCTATTGACAAATAAAATCTTTTACTAACAATCACTACAAATAGTTGTACATATCAGTTTAATAATTTTCCTATATTAATTAAATTAAATTTTAGAAGCTTCTATGTGTTGTTTTTTTAAGACAAACAAATTATGGTAATAAGATTTCTAAAACTCAGAATTAAAAAAATTAAAAAAAGAAACTGACTTGCAGTTTTCAATTGCATTACAGGATCGAATCTGAAATCGAATAATAAATCTTCATACTTAATTTAAATTTAAAAAGATTACATTTTTTGCCAATTTTTGACAATGTTAACGATGTAACTCCTTACCTTTTTTTTTTAATTTTCGGAAAAAATTTCGAAAATTATTTTTCAACTGGACATAGCTAGATCGACGCAGCTCAATGCTGATCAAGAATATATATGGTTTATAAGGTCGGAAATGACTGCTTCACTTAGTTTTAAGCTTCTGAATTAAATGACACCCGGCAAAAAGGTATAAAAACAGACAATTTTTTTGAAAAATCAAATTTTTCCGGACACCTTAATTAAGTTGAAATTACATTATTTTTAAATCGGAAAGTTTTTCTGTGCTAGTTTTTATTGCACTAACAAATCTGCATAATGCGTTTCTTGATACTATTGTCAATTTTTGACTAAAATTATAATACCCTGAAAAAGGTTTAAAAACTGACAATTTTGTTCAAAAATCATAGTTTTAAAAACTCATAACTAAGCCAAAAAACCATAAATTTTAATTCGGAAAGCTGTTCTATGCTAGTTTTTATTAACAAATTAACAAATCTGCATACTGGGTTTTAAAATTTAAAAAGTTTAATTTTTTTACAAATTTCGACAATTTTAATGATGTAACATGGCTAGATTGATTCAGTTTTTGATGCTGATTAAGAATATATATGGTTTATACGGTCGGAAATGTGTCTTTCGCTGTGTTGCAAGCTTCTGATTTAAATTATACCCAGCAAAAAAGTATAAAAACAATTATTTTGAAAAAAATCAAAGTTTTTCGAACATTATAATTAAGCCGAATTTGCATTAATTTTAATTCGGAAAGCGTTTCTGTGTTAGTTTTTATTGCACTAACAAATCTGCATACTGAGTTTGATTATGGTATTGTCAGTTTTTGACTTAAATTATAAGACACCGCAAAAAGCTATAAAAACAGACAATTTTTTCCAAAAATTATAGGTTTAAAAACTCTTAACTAAGCAAAATCATTAATTTTAATTCTTCTAGTTTTTAATAGATTAACTAATCTACATACTCAGTTTATAAAATTAAAAAATTCAAATTATTGTCGATTTTTGGAAATTTTAACCATGTAACCCCTTATCTTTTTTACAAATTTCGAAAAAAAATTTAAACAAATTTTTTTGTCCAAACATGGCTAGATCGACTAAGCTGTCGATGCTGCTCAAGAATATGTATTATTTATGGGGTCGGAAATGAGTCATTCAAACATTACAAGCTTCTAACTAAATACCCTGAAGGGTTAAAAATATCCAAAAATTTTAATTAATTTACCTATTTTTTATACATCAAACTGAATATCGATGAATCGTACCTTAGTTATTTACTTAACAAATATTCCTCCCACATAAAAAAACATTTAGATTTTTCTCTTTTAAATAGATATTTGAAAAATATTTTAATATAAAAAATCATTACAACTATTGTGTGTTGGTTTTTTTTTGTTTTTGTGGGGGCTAACCCCTCCCTCACATATTATTTTATATATATACTCTTTATATATGTATATGTATGTTTGCCATATCTGATTTTTTTGTTTTATTTATCGCGATTTTTCTATATGCTAGAAAAATCGTCAAAACAACATATTACGAATGCACAACAAAAAGTATGACCTGGATTACAGATTATTATTCAACTACAATATGCCTACGAATGTAATGATGGTTCTATGTATATGATGGATGTATGATGGACAATGAAGTTGATATTCTTCAAATGGAGTTTGGCGTACATTTGTATTGGATTACGGTTACGATTACGATTGGGTGCTAAAAGCAAAGGGTATAGGGCAAGTAATGCCTCTATAAATGCCCTACTCGCTTGGATATCTCTGCCTTGATATAGTATCTCGTGTTAAATATATATAAAATTATGTATATAAAATATGTATTTAAAAAAAAACTGTTCAACCCGCGGAGCCCAGACGGCCAGTGTAGCTTACGAATTAACATTGTTATAAGGTATGTACTGAATGAGAGAGATGTGGCCGAAAATGTAGACCTTCGATCAGAAATACAAAGTGAGTTGGAATACGGTTGGCTGTATATATATATATTATATGTATGTATACTCCGACATCTTATATGGAACGCTTCGATTCGTCTTCTGTTTTTTCGATTGATGTGTGCATATTGATAGATTGAAAACGTTTTTATAAACTTTCTGCTGCTGTTTCTTCTGAATTCGTTTTTTCTTTTTGTTTATGGCATCTTTCAGTCAATGACCACGCGAGTGAGGAGTATGCCGCGCTTGCTCAACCACAATCTATAAAAATAGGAAGGGCAGATAATTAATTGCAAGCCACTGACATGGTGACTCTGTTGAGGACACTCACCCAAAACCGGCTCCCAGAAGCAGGGACAGGACATTGGTTACCAGCAGCGAGTATAGGATTTCGCGGGAGAACAGCGAGTTGGCGCCCAGACGCTTCAAGCGAATGGAGTAGCCAGTTGTAGTCTTCTTTTTCTCATCCTCTTCGCCGTCTGTGTTGCTGACCGACTCGAATTTCCAGTTTCTGTAAAAGCAATTGAAATAAGTTTTAGTTTTAGTTTTACATTGTTATGGTAAAAACAATAAACGTTACTGCCTTTACTTATTTTGTATTATTATTTGTTTACTGTCTGATCTTGAAGATATTTATATCTTCTTAGATATTACATTAAATACTTATTTATTTGGTTATTCGATATTATACGCACTTGGGTGGCTGCTCTTCGGCATTGCGATTCCAGTTCTTCAACCAATCACCATTGTCTGCATTCTGTTTATCTCCAGCCTGCCGGCAACAAAGAAAGGCATTGTTAGCATCATGATGATGATCACCTCGGTTACGCTCCGGTTCCCAGCACTTACCTTGGTCCAGTAGTTTATGTAGACATTTCTGAGCTCATCGTCCGGACAGAGCTCCGACTGTGGGCTGTTCGGTGGACTTTTGGGGCTATCACGGGGCGTATCACGACGAGAACTGGCCAAGGAGACGACACGGCTCGACTGGTTCGATTCGCGCTGAGCCTCGCGCAGCAGTCGCAAGTACTCCTCGCCATTGTTAAATGGCAGCGGTGTGATTCTGTCGGGGCTCTTGATGCCAGCCATTGCAGCCGTCGTGCTCAGTTCAATCCAAGATTCTGTTTGAGAAAAAAACGAATAAGGTTAGTAAAGATACTTAGCAGCATATACATATTAGCAGATACATATAGTAAGTAAATCATTTCATTGGCAAAAGGAAAGCAGGCCACCAGACAAAAGTAAACGAAAGCTAAAGCCAAATGGTGTGAAATTGAATATTTATTTGTTTGCAATCGGTGCTGCTTAAATACAGAGTCCGAGTTTGAGTTCAGAACCTTTTGAGTTGAGGTCAAAATAAATAAAAGTGTTTAAGTACTGTAGAACGTCTCTATATTGTGAAATAGTTTTAAGCTTCAGAATAAATAAATTAACCTCATGGAAGTCAAGAATACGCACAAAAAAGCAAAAACATACGTCGTTTATAATTTATTTATTAACGGAAATTGTCTGCTTTAAGTATAATCCTGTCAACAAATGCTTTTTTGAATAAAATATGGCATTTTTGGCCTTTTATTTCTTAATTCTCCTGCGGTTGTGGCTGATAATCACAGTTTTGGCGTCACACTGCGGGGCAGTGAATCCCAAAGTATAGTATATATTTATGCCAGCGTCGTCACCCCTTTTTGCGTTTTGTTTTTGTTTGCTTAAACGTAACAACAACAATTAATAATACACGTTCAGTTCGTTAGCCGATGTCTGTATATATTTATATGTATGCATGCTCAAGTGCTCGTGCCCCATTGATAAGGCTAAAAACCTCTCTCAACTCGTACAATTTCCGTTTCTTTCGACGTATATGGGATATAAACAATATATATTTTTATGTATATATAGAAGCACACATGTGTTTTGTTTATAGACTGCAGCAGTTCGACGATGCTTATCAATTGCCACGGAGAAATTTCATTTTCAAAACAAAACGAAACCACAAACTGCCGATGCAATATGGCACGAGAAGCGTGCAAGTTACATGACAGCGGCGATGCTCGGACTCGATTCGGTGATAAGGCGTACAGTGTTATGTCCCTAAAACTATATTTTTTATGCAATAAACAATTACTATTTAGAGTTTTTAAGTCATAGTAAATCAGATTAAGCTCATAGCTTGAAGAATTTTAAGGCTAAATAGCAAGTATAGAACTTCTTTTAAAAATTAATTTTGCTATGCTAATTCCAAAACTCAAAATTTTCCACAAATATTATCAGCATCTCGAATGTATTATGACTGTAACAGAAACTAATTTAGACAATTTCACAAAGCAACCGAATCAATTACGGAATAGTTCACATCACTCACGTGGCAGACCAATCATGCTGACAAACGAATACTAAATGCAATGTCTAGACGAAAAAGATGAGACATTTATGGAAGGATTTGCTAAAATCGAAGCTAAGCTAGGAAAATGGTTAATGGGAAAATCCCAGTCAGCGACAGGTAAAAACGGGGATGATTTTTGCACAGGTAAACACACAACAGCAGCAGTTGTTATCGGGAATCCGGGTTACAGGTACAAAATGTGCAGCGAAGAGTGGGAACAATAACAAAGGCAGAAAAGTAAAAGCAAAGCGGAGGGTGGCAAAAATCGGTTTGCTGACTCACAGCACGTAGGCAGAGCTGGCCCCATCTCTCTCTCTCTCTCTTTGGGAGAGGGAGTCTCTCTCAACCTACCACTCACTCCCTCTCTCTTATTACCACTCCCTCCGCCTTTTCCTTCGCCTTCTTTCTTGACGTTTTGTTGTTCGCATCTCTCCTGATGCGCAGCATCAGGAGCGAGTTGAGCCCATTGAGTTGAGCCCATTGAACCGCCTTTATTACTGGATGGATGACTCCCGGGTATCATAATACCATTCCTTATGCAGTATATTTAAAAAATTAAAAATTATAAAAATGCACAAAGGAAAAAATATCACCAAAATTGGTCATCAGGTCAAAAGTCTGCTTATTATTTTGGAACGCGTCATGAAATTATAAAAATAGGCTCTATTGAGAGGTCAGGTACCCCACTTTGGTTATAAACTCTAGATAATATTTTTTATAGTGGTTATTTCACAATTTTTGAATATCACTTCACACAAAACAGCACAAACAACTTTTCGGCACCTGACCAATATTTTTCCTGAAGATTTGCGATTAGATTTCTTGGCCTCCTTTTTCGCAGTGTAAACGTGTGAGTGGCTGCCGCTCGTTGAATGTTGATAAAGTAGCCCAGCCGCCGCCGAAATACATACATACAATTGAAGCTAATGCCAAAGTCGCAATTTCTGGAAGCGGCGACCGATAGGGAAATGCCCTCCCACAAAAACGTTTATTTACGAATTATTTTCGCAAACAATTCGGACAGAGGGACAACCAAGGGGAGAGTGCAAAAAAAAGCCGCTTGACGTCAAGCAGGCCAAGTGCAAAGTAAAGAGACATGACATGAATGAACACGAAGAGAGTGAGAAAGGGGAAGAGAGCGAGTGGGGCCAACCGCCAGCTTCTTTGTTTTCTTTCATTCGGAGTTTTTAGCAGATTCTTTGTTGTCTCTCCGATGCACAGTAAACAAAACAACAGAAAAAAACACGCCATGCCAAAGCAGGGACAAAGCAAAGCCTTGAAACAGAATATATATGGGGGGATGCAGCAAGTGTGGCAACATTAAAATGCGGATACAAACAAATGCTATGCGTGTATGTGTATTTATAGTTACAGCAAAGTCAACAACAATAAAGCGGCATAACGGGTTACCGCCGTGTTATTGTTATGAGTGTGCAAAAAGAAACGCAAAAAAACACGAATCGAAACGAAAGAAGGAGCAAAGCAAAACAAACAACTTACCACCCAGCAAATCTTCAGATTTTGGTGTCGTAGACATTTTGTTTATATCGGTATTTTGTATGGATGCGAGTGTGTGTGAGTGCGGGGAGTGTTCAACACGTCACACCAAAAATAACTTGATTTTGTTATTGCCTATATTCTCGGCTTAAGTTATTTTTTTAATTTTTGCCCGAGTTATTTTGGCCCTTAACGTTTCCGTATGTGTGTGTGTGTGTCTATTCGCTTTTTGTGTCAATGTATGCGTAAGGAAAAATGCGTTTTACTTTTCGTTTGGCGCTGTTTCTCTGCTGCTGCACTTGTTTTCGCAACCTTTTATTGTTCTAGACTAATGCTAACAGCCTGCTGTTCGAGATATTGCAACTTTGTTTAATGCTTCGCTGAAGCGACTGGCTCTACAACTAAAAATTAAACACGAATCGTTTCCCACGCACAAGCTTAATGCGTAGTTTAAATGTTTTGTTGCTGTAGTGCTGAGTGTGGCCGTTGTTTAAGGGGAAAATGCCATGTTATCGGTTTGGTAAATCGTGGTGGATAACTTTGATGGAAAGGAAGAAAACATGGCTGAAACAACGTATTGCAATACCGTAAAGCTCAATTCGGTACAAGACGTTAATTATTCTCAAGTTTATTCAACCTGTATAAAGATAAATCGAGTAAAATTTTAAATTATATATTATTATCTCGTCTTTAAGAATAAATCAAATGTTTTCAAGTCACTCTTGGCCACATTCCGCACAAAGTAAAAGTTATTGCCCTCCACTATTGTCTTGGGCGATATATACAAATCTTTTTGCGGGTCGTACTGAGCCCGGCCCAGCAACTTGAGGAACTCATGGCGTTCTCTAAGGCGAAACTCCCGCGATGCCAGCAGTTCGGGAGACTGGATAATCTGGGCATGCGACAAGCCCATGTCTTGGTGGATGTAGCTAAACCGCTCGATTAGATCGTCAGGAGCTGAAATTAATTGATAGAGATTTATTAAGACATTATAAATAACTAGAGCATGGGATTAGGAATCTTACGAATCATCATTAATCGCGGCTTGCGAACTATAAGAGCACTCAGCTCCTTGGCATCGAATCCCATTTCCTCCTTGAGAGTAAACACGGATTTGCGCAGGTGTTCCATGTTGTAGGTGATCACATTGGGCTCCCTGGTGGCCAGCAATCGCAGGTCATGGCCACTCAGGCGGAACTCCTTTTGAAAGTAGCCCAGTCGACGGTCCACACGCTTCGTGGAGAACATCAACCAAAAGGGATTATGTGTGAGGATCCTTTGTCTGGCTTCGTCCGAGAATCGTTTGCTTTTCAGGTACTCTACCCGCGTCTGCAGGTCATCCAGATCCTCCTTGAAGACCAGCGGATTCTTTGTGAACATTCTGCCAAAGTCATCGGCTGAAACGCCCTGGTCCGCCAGGAAAGAGATGCATGGCTTGACGTCCTTCTCGAAGTCCAAACGCAGAACGAACTCTCCCAATCCCTTCCTTCGTTCTATGCTGTGCAGATTTACACCCAGCTTGACGAACTGCTGCAGGGTGTTGGAGCTATTCACATACGCCGCCAAATTGAAGGAGGGCACATGGGCCTCGCGATTCCCAAAATCCAGGGCCACCTCCTTGTAACTTTTCCGCGTCGCGGTCTCTGCTACCGGTTCGTTGTCATCGTATTTTGCGGATATATCCGTGGGCTGAAACACATCTATCTCACTTGGGGCACTTCGTTGTCCACGCAAATATCGTAATTGCGAGGAAATCGCCGTGATTTTAGCCGCATTTTGAGAATTTTCAAGAATCTTACGTATTGCAGAAGACAACATGCTGGCGGTGTGACCAGACTGTCGCAAGCGGGAAACGTAACTATAATTTAAAAGTGTTTAAATCAGTATGCATTTATTAACGTAATATAAAATAAAAAAATATATGCTTTTTGGCTTAGTTATTAACGCAATTAATTAATAATAAAGTGTATTGAGAACAACAATTTTTCTCAACCTCTTTTATTCATCTGGCATATTTTATCGGTCGTTTAACGGTCACACTGGGCCCGATCTTGAATTTTAACTATAGTGTTTTGTGAAAAATAATCTAGTCCAGAGTCTACAGAAGACTTGTTTGTTTTGTTTATTGAACCCGCCTTGAGGACTTTATTGATCACATCTAAATCTGCAACATACACAACAACATGGACAAATTACGCCGCGTTCTGAGTGGAGATGAGCCCACGCCGGAGGAGGAGAGCAGCATCATCACCCAGGTGTGTGTCAGTCCATTGTCCACTGTCAACTTCTTGAATATTTATGAAATTAGCGCCTGGAGGCGATAATCGTTGGGCTGCGAAAGCCCTCCCAGAAACGCCCCTTCTTTCCCCGGGCCGATCACATGAAGACATTAAGAGCTGTGACTCAACGCTTATCAGCGCTTAACAATACCCACTAAAACTCTCATTAATTATTGCAGATTAACGAAATGTCCACATTGAGCTGGTCCACACGCATCAAGGCATTCTGCATCTGCTTTGTCTTGGGTATTTTCCTTTCCCTTTTGGGATCCATTGCCCTATTTCTGCACCGCGGAATTGTGGTTTTTGCGGTCTTCTACACACTGGGTAACATAATCTCCATGGCCAGGTAAGGGAGAGATTACTTATTTACGTATGTCTCTATATTAATTATGTGCCTTATTTCAGTACATGCTTCCTGATGGGTCCATTTAAGCAGATAAAGAAAATGTTTGCCGATACTCGTCTGATAGCCACCTGCATAGTGATCGCGGCAATTATCATGACGTTTATTTCAGCCATTGTGGTAGATTATGCTTTTTATTTTGATTTATTTCAGTTCTGGCATGCAAATTTAATTGATTTCAATTTTGTTCCTTTACTAAAAACGTAAAATTGTTATTATTTCAGCTTAAAGCACAAAATTCCAAAATTTTACCTATTAATTTATTCAAATTAGTTAACGTTTTAATGCTTTCATTATGAATTTGATCTTTTGTTATGATTTTGATTTAATTTTTGTGTTTCCCATTTGTTTTAGTTGAAAAAAGCTGGACTTACGCTTATATTCATTATCATCCAATCCCTGGCCATGACCTGGTATTCGCTATCGTACATCCCCTATGCCCGGGATGCGGTCAAGAAGACCGTGTCGGCCTGCTTTGAGGTGTAGAATCGATGGCACTGTACATAGATCGGTTTGTAACTTAAGCTAAGACAATTAAATCATCTGTATTAATCTAGAGAAGTAGAGTATTATTAACAAGCATTTTCTTGGTTTGTCTTTTAAATAAATATATATATATAATATATATCTTTTATACATACATATATATATTTACACGTTATGTATTTAATTTAATCAGTACAGTTTTCTTTAAGTGTATGTACATAATTCTCTTGTTTGGTTTCTTTTTTTAATAGAATATGAATGGCCTCATCCACTTTGTTTCTGTAGCTTTGAAGTTTTTTTGTATTTAAATATCAATCAAGTTCTTATTTTAATTTCTTCTCTTTTTGCGGCGACAATTTACCTAGAAAAGTGAAATAAAAAAAATTTAGATCGAAAAAGTTGCTGATATAAAAGAGTTAACAATAATAATGCCTTAGACTATTTTAATTTTAATATCGTAGTGCGCTGTGCTGGGGGCTTCAATGGATTTACTCCTTGGTATTTGTGCTTTTTGTTCATTGAGAAAAAGAGATACGAAAGAGAAAGGGGGAAGAGAGCGCAAGGAGAATTCAAATTGAGAGCAGAAAAAGTTGAGAGAAATCGTTTACCATTTAATTGAGCCAATAAATTAACGAAAGTCATTAGTGCAGAAAGAAAAGTTAATTAAGAAAATAAAGCAGGCAACATTAAAAGGGGATTTATAAACCCAATCATTAAATTTAAATGTTATTTATTCATTTTATATGTTGCCTGCTATATCAAATTATAAAATACCTACCTTTAGATGGTGAAGATGAGTGGGCTAGACTAATACCTCCTTTACTTTTCGTGGGTGTCGAGGAAACCTTTTTTAGCTGCCGTTGCTGGATAAATAAAAATATTCTCATTTTAATATACAATTCAGATAAAATAATAGCTTTTCGATGACTTACCTGCCACCAAACCGCCAGATAGACGAATGCCACCGAGATTAGCACTTGGATCGTCAGCCACAGGACAATGTTGATGGCTTGCGTGCGCTCAAACAACTCCTTGCCATTCTTAATGCACAGAATGGCCTCGGAGACCATGATGGCGCCGTAAACCCAACACTGGGTGCCGACTCTCTTGCAGCGCGTATCGGTGACATATACATAATATTGCCTGCAAGTAGAACAAATCCATATTAATTCATATTTTCCTGTATCCTGCATCCAATTGATACCCACCTAACCGAGGGTGCCACAAAGAGTCCAATGAATATGAGGCGACCAATCACAATAAAGTGATCCGGCGGCATCTCGAAAATGTGCTTCAAGAAGAATGTGTTCAGCTCGGTGACCTGCCAGAAGATCACTAGCTGGATGACCGCCGCGAATCGCATGGCCGTGGACTTGGGATCTAGCCAGCGGATGGCTGACCAGCTCTCCGGAGTAAACTGAAGCATGGCACGCTTGATCTTGCCGGTCGTTGTCGATATATCCTTGATGCTGGCCCATTTGTACTCGCGCATCTCCAGGATTTGACAGATTTTGAGGCCCATCCAGATACCCAGACCGTTGCAAATGATCACATCGAGGATAAGAGCATCCCACCAGCATTCAATAAAGTTGGGCAGGAGATGGGCAAAGGTGATCTCGGTGATTTCCCACATCACCGAAATGGCCCAAAGAATGCCCATGTGACGGATAAGGATGGCCTTAAAGGCCCAGCCCAAGAAATGGCCCCAGGCAAAGACATCCAAGTGGCCCTTGACGCGATCCCAACTGATGTCCGAACAGTTGACGCCGTATTCCTAGGAGAAATCAAATATTTCATGAATATGTTATGTAGTAAAGTAACAAACAATAGATACTTACCTTCTCCATATCGATATGAAAGTTCTTCAACTTAGGATCAATCCAATAGAATATACTCCTAATGGTCGGATAGTTTTGGAACATCAGAAACTGTAGCATCAGCAGGTACAGAACGGAGCAACCGAATAATATTCGCCAAACGGCGGGATGTGGTCGTGTAAAGGGTCCATTGGGAAAGGCAATTACCGAGACGATGAGGAAGAAGAACACAATGCATAGTAAGCCCGCCCAGAGATTCTCATCCACATTCGCCTCATTCCTGTAACGAGATAATAGCACTGCTAAGCGGCTGATCTTGGTCTCCATTTCGGTAATAGTGTATAGTAGTATTCCTTATCAGCATAGCACGTTTTTTTCATTGGGGTTTTGGGGGTCAATGGCACGATTAGGTGAACGAAGTCGGCGAGTACATAACGTCTGTGTTTAGTTCTAGTTCCATATATTATATTTATAGTTTAGCGCGTATATATATTTCGTTTTTTGGCTCTTTGAACCTTCGGCTGTCTCACTTGACACATTTGGCAGTGTGTTCATGATACTTTTCTAGTGTTTAACCCGCTGAACAACAACTAAACTGTGTTCTCTGATCGCACGTGGTACAGATTTTTGATTGGAATTATTTTTTCTTTAGGCTCGCAACATGATAAGCGGCAAGATTGATTCAAAAATTATAGAGATACTTTAAATCATATTTACGACTGCACTTGTTTATATGGAAATTTTTTTTTGTATGATTAGAGTATTATGTAAATAAGATGGTATTTTCTGTGATATATATTTTTATGTAACTTTAGAACTTGTCTCATAGGTAACAATTAAATGTATATATTGGCAGGCCAAAAGATAGTCCTTTAATATACAATTTTTAATATTATCTTGAATAGATACGAGAAGATACAGACATATCGGTACCAAACTTTTATACAGAATATAAGAATGCAGTAGAAAAGTAATTGATAAATTTCTTTGAGGCAAAATTTAAGTATGTTATAGTCATGTCACGTGGACCCATAGAGGGTTAATTGTCCGACATATACAGATTTTCAATTTCGGTTGTGTCTCTTACGTTTCAAAGGCAAAGATAAGTTACTTTATAAGAATTCTCTTAAATATTTGCATACAATCTATAGATACCAGCTTAGGCATAAAATTATATTAATATTGATAATAACTGTGACTATTTTATGCAAATAACTCCCGGATTTGTAGTTATTATATCAATTAATGAGTGACAGGGGTTAAAGCACTTGAGTTATGCCCTAGACATGAGGCGAGACCCTTTGATCTTGCTCTATCACGAAATGAGTTTGCACTCTAATCTCTATGATAACAATCTTCTATTAATTAATTTGACCAAAGGATCAAGGATTATCCTAAATTAAACCCCAAGATCTAGATATTCACTTCAATCTCACCTGACGAAGGCAAAGTACATCACAGCCAGCACGGACACAGCCAGCAGGGTGATCGTGTGCGGCTTGTAGAAGAAATCCAGGGATATATCGTCCACTGGCCGCTCGTTGACAATGACAAAGGTCTGGGCAATCTCCTCCTTTCGCTTCCGTCTGGCGCCCGCACTGCTACCGCTGCCATCGCTGCCATCCCGCCGTCCCTTTGTGGGCGTGGCCGGGGCACTGGCCGCTCCCGGTTTGTAGGCAGCTGATGTTGTTGATGATGATGAAGGATGGTCCCCCTCGCCGGCGGGCGGGGTGCCACGTGAACTGGAGCGTTTCTTCATCGCCAAACGCTAAATTCGATTATCAGATGTAAGCGATGGCGTGATGTGGTTGTTGTTAGGCGGCAATGGCCCCGGTGGTTGGTTGCTTCTGACTGTTGTTTTCCCGTCGTCGTCGCCGTTGTTGGGGCTGCTCAGGTGCATGCGGGGACTGAAGGTTGCGCAACATTCGATTCTCTGCGGCTCTCTGGCTTCCACTGCCTGCCCGCGGCCTCGCTGGCGTCCGGATCGGATTGCTACGGGTGGTGTGGTCCTGGCCCTGGTCCTGCTACCTCGATTCGCGTGTATTCGGCGCACGTTTATTTTATCATTTGCCAGTGGCGGGCCGTTGTTTTCAATTAAACATGCTGCGCCGACTTGGACCAATAAAAATCGACACTTGCCGGCGGTGTGGCGTTGCCAGATCGGTTGGCGTTCTCGACTTGATAAGGAAGCGTTGCCAGATGGTTTGCGGAAATGGGGTGCTCCGGGCTTTAGTTTAAACTGTCATTATTATTTTAAATTAATTTTTGTTGTAGGTGTTTTTCGGTTTGGGTATGTTAGTCAATAAAAATATTATACTTCGAAATAATATATATATATACATATATGTCTCCAAATATTCACTCAAATAACAAATATGTTTCTCGTTAAAGACTTGTATTAACTTGTATTAAAACACTACATCAAAATTGAATTAATTAATTATATAGTTAGCTCCGGAAAATAATAGGTTTTTTTTTCAGAAAAAATAACCAATAAATAAATGCTTTAACAAAACCGCTAGAAAAATCAATTGAAATTAACAAAAACCGGAACCACCCCGCCAATTCAACCCTGGCTAAACAGCTGACGGCACTTGTTGACCGAGAAGAAATCCATGAAGTGGTATTGATTTCGTGCGGTTCCCTAAACAAAACGTTTAAAATGCTCCTGGAACAAGTAAATAATATTATTGCCGTGCTTTCCGGAAAGGGTGGAGTGGGGAAGTCCACTGTGAGCACACAGTTGGCGCTGGCGCTGCGAAATATGGGGTATAAGGTGAGGTACAATTAATTTCATCACAAAAACATGACAATCTGATTTTCTGATTAGGTGGGATTGCTGGACATAGATCTGTGCGGACCGAGTGTTCCATATTTATTGGGACTGGAGGGACGTGAGATATACATGTGCGATGAGGGCTGGGTCCCCATCTACACGGATGAATCGAAAACCCTGGCCGTTATGTCCATTGGATTTCTTTTGAAGAACCGTGAAGATCCTGTCATCTGGCGCGGTCCCAAGAAAACCATGATGATTAAGCAGTTTCTCACCGACGTGAAATGGGAAGCAATGGACTATTTGATCATTGACACGCCGCCGGGCACTTCGGATGAGCATATCACTGTGATGGAGTGCCTCAAGGAGATGCAATGCAATGGAGCTGTCATCGTAACCACGCCGCAAGAGGTGGCCCTGGATGATGTACGTAAGGAGATAACCTTCTGCAAGAAGACCGGCATCAGAATCATGGGCATTATCGAAAATATGAGTGGGTAAGTTAAACTAAATCTTGGATTTGATTTAAAAAAAAAAATCTAGGCCTTTTTTTGGACACTGCACACCAAAAATCGCTGTTTTTTCTACACATAATTGTTTAATATGGTTTGCAAACCTTTCCTTACTCAGGAATTTGTTTTACCAAAGAAAATATTATATCCAAGACAAAATCATATACATATGTGAATATGATTTATGGTTCAGTGTAGGCTAACATACTTATTTTTCCTGATTTAAACTTAAATTATTTTGTATATTTACTATTCGTCTTACTTATAGTTTACTTAATTTTCTCAGATTTGTATGCCCCAGTTGCTCTTGCTGTACAAACATCTTCTCCTCGAACGGAGGTTCTGAGCTGGCCAAGTACGCTCAAATTCCCCATCTGGGAACGTTGCCCATAGATCCCCGAGTTGGTGTCTTGGCGGGGACCACAGCATCTGTGTTGGATGAACTTCCAGACTCACCAATTGCGAAGGTGATGCGCGAGGTAGTTGAGAAATTAAAAACTATTAAACTGTAACTATAAGATGTAAATAAAACCAAAGAAGTCTGTACTTTTTTATATATATTTTTTCAATTGAGAATATATTTAATACTGCATTTCATTTGGTTACAATTTTATTATATTCTAAAATGTTTACTCAATTTTATTTAAAATGTTTTCCTTCAATATTCGCAAGTAAGAACTCAGTAACTTACCGAGCATCGTTAAAATAAGAAACCCCAGTTTTAAATAATAACACACAATAGTGATTTTGCTTTTCTTAAACTTTGGTTTTTTTTTATCGCTTTATTTGTCGTAGAATAAATGTCTAGGATATAATAATAGAATGGTTTTTAAAGGAATGAATGTTGTGGATGCGTTTCGGGAGAACTAACTAAGTATGTACGTATATTAAATTAAATTAAATGAATGAATGAATGAGAGTGAGTGAGTGCGTTTCGTACAGTATTCATAATATATAATCAAACTAAAGTGTTTCCTACTAATACTTTCCAATTACGTTTACTTTTGTGTGTTCTCTGACGATGATCTTCTCTCAGTTTTGATAATTAGAGCTATCACATTACTGTCTCGATTACTGCTTAACTTAATCCACCCTATTTAATTGATTTGAGCAATAGTCTTAAGATCAATTTGTGGGTTAATGCACGAGGTTTCGCTTAATTGCTCGGTCGGCTCGCTTCTTTCAATGTCTGTTTGGACTATCCTTCGATATGGAAGGGAAACAGAGTCCTTAAATTCTGTGAAATCCTTTAACAAATGCTCTCTGTAACACTCGACTGACGATGAAGTTAGTTTCTTTTTTTTCTAAATATTATTAACATGCAGACTTCTTCCACTGTTTTGGTATTATTTTCTCTAGCGGAAACTAGATGAAAGCTTGTCAAGATCAAAAATCAGTCTGCGGGATGGAAATCACACAGAGAAAAAAAAGATTTAAATTAGCACTTAACTGTAACAAAATCTAGTTTTTACCATCTCGTAATCAATATTAATATACTTTTGCTACCAAGAATAAAAATTAATAATCTGAGATGGCGACCTAGTTCGATACTATATATTTTTCTCTGTGCTGGAATCACAACTAATGCTTCTTTTCATCTCTGAAAGTAACCTTACTTTCAAAGGACTTTAGATTGCAGACCTCCTGGGGCTGCTGGGTAGAGACCTCGTGATAGTTGCCATTGACCTTCTTGCCAACTCTACACCGCTTCCAAATAAGGCAGTACACAAACCAATATAGTACACAGCCAAAAAGAAGAGCCGAAACAGCAACCAGAATTACTGCTTTCACAGGAAAAAGGTTTTTGGAATCAATATCGAGTATATCCTGGGACACATAGGGACGATGTTCGGTATTATTATTCCTGGCATCGCGGGTAACCTTCTCCTCACTGGCCGCCTTGACCTGGCTGGTTGACTCCGGTGTCTGAACCTCGGGCTCATCGGTTGATTTCTGCTCTGTCCTTGTGGTCTCAGCCGGGCTCTGACTTGTCCATGCTGGAAGATCAGAGACTGAAGAAGCCGATGCCTCGCTAGTAGAAGCTGGACCATTTGTTGTACTCTGATCTGTCGAAGATACCATCGAAGAATCTGAGCTTGAATCTGTGCTAGCTTCCAGGTCTCTTGTGGAGGAGTTGTTCTCCTGCAGAGGCGCTTCCGATGAGGCGATGTTCTCCGCAGCGTCAGAGCTAACCTCGGCGTCGGTGGTACTACTGGCCAGCTCATAGAAATCGGAATAAACCGTGCTGAAAGGTGCTTGTAGGTCCGGAATCAATGGGAAACCTTCAGCCGATGATGTCGAGCTAACAATTGCAGTTTCAGGTCCTTTGGTTGCACCCGAGTACGGCTGGAGGATCGAGATGTGTGGTGGTGGTGCTGATGCCTCATCCGGACAAGTTTGACAGCACTCCCCTTCCTTCCTAATGGGTCTATCACAATCCACAAGCGGGCATTCTGTGGCCTGGCAATCGCGCTCTCCATCCAAAGTACATCTGCACAAAGTGCATCCACCATTCTCCGTCCAAGTCCCTCCCAAGGCGACTGCAGTCTCGTTCGCATGGTCAGGCAGTTGCTGACCTCCACGGACAGGTCACAGAATTGGATGCAGCGAATGGCATGGGAATTGCAGGATTCGCACTTGGTGCACTTATTGGGAAAGTACGTGACATTGGTACCATTGCAAACGGGCTCCGAGTCGCTGCATTTGTAGTGGGGACAACAGCTGCCAGGTTGCCCATCCCCGGGATAACCTCGACGAGCACCTGGTTACATGTTGGCACCTCCGCACACGGTAGGCAGGTGCAACTCTCTAGGATGTCATTTCTTTGACTGTCCAGCGGGCAGCTTTCTGTCTGTGGGATTTCATCCAAGTCGATGATCGGCAGAGCTGGAAAAATATTAAATTAAAGCAAATAATTAGTTACGTATATTTTTAAATTTAAAAATAATTAATCTAGTTTGAAGCTACGCATACTCAAAATAGACCCTTAAAATTCCAAACTGATTTCAATGCCCTTCAAGTTCAATATTTGTATCGATCGATCGATCGATCGATCACATTCCAGCCAGCAAACTATATAGCCCTGAATTAATTATTCAATAAATCTGGAGGTAAATTTATAAAAATTGCAATTTGATTAGGCACACTCGGGTGAAATTACTCCAAGGAAAGCAGCAACCCAATCAAAACAAAACGAAGAGAAATGAAATTTATTTTTGGTGGAATACAAAGTACGGCGAGAGTGACACTCTCGTTTATCATTTATTTATTGTTACTGATTTTTGACATTTTATCATTGAATTATAAAAAGAGGGAAGAAGGCGCCAGAGCGATAAAAATGGGGGTATAACAATAACAAACAAAAGAAAAAGAATAACAAAAAAAAAACAATTGCAGTGTGAAACAAGCCCAAATGATTTTGTGCCTCTTCCCCTTATTGGATGGATCGATATGGATCGATCGTTTCATTGAATCAATATTGCCCCCAATTGCCGGTATTATCAATTTTTGGTGTGATAAACTTTTGTTACAAAAATGCGTCGTCCGTCCTCGCATCAAAAATGGTTACAATAACTCTTCCCCGATCGCGATCGAAGGTTATCAAAAGTATTTTCGATATTGACGTCACTCCTGTGCTGTACTGTGCTGTGCTATGTCGCAGACTTTGTAGGTGAAGCGCATTTAATTGAACGTAATTTAAAATAGATATAAGTCGTTGCGGCTATATTCTTTTGCTATCAGGTCGGAGCGATCTATATGACAGCCACCAGACGGGGCAATTATTCATGTGTGTGGTCATGTGTGCGTGCCCGTATTCGTTTGATTGAGAAGCGCATAGAAGGGCGCTGAGGATGTCAGGGAACTGTGCGTGTTCAGGGATCAATAAGAGAGTGTTTTTGAAATACCTCTGGAATTTGGCATTGTTATTTATCATTTTATTCATAGATGACATGTATTTCATATAAATATATAAACGATTCAAATATTTGAACAGCAAATTGAGAAGCGCAGAGAAGGGCCTTGTAAGTGGCAGGGAACTGTGCGTGTTGTAATCAATAACAAAGTATTTAAATACCTTTGGAATGTTGTCTTGTTTATTTATCACTTTATTTATACATTCGGAATATATTTATTAGAATGTTTACATGTTTCCTACAACCAAAGTCTATTAACAAACAAAATTGAGAATTGCAGAAGACCCTGAAGTAGTTAGGAGAGAGTGCTTGTTGGGAATATTTGTATTCTTTGGGTTTCAGTTATCCGAAAATAACAAATAAAATATCTTATAATGCTTTTAAAATCCCAAAACTGTTTGGAAAGGAAATTAAGTATAAAACCTTTTGATTTAATTTTGTGTTCTGGTAAAAATAAATGAAATAAAATGATTTTCAAGGCCTGTTAATTTGCAATTAAAAGCCGATCGCAATAATACATTATTATTGAACATTTAATTATAAAACAATTTCACAGGCAATTGAAAATCTATAACAAACACGCTTCACTGATGTAATATTCAAATTAATTAAATTGTGATGGTTTTAAAAATGAAAAACAATAAAATAATAATATAAATAGCTTGCAGAGAAATGAGATTATGTTTTCCTCGTAAAAACCCAACAAAGTCCAAAAATAATCACTCGACCACAACGGGCCACAGTAAAAATTTCATTCTGAATCTAGTTTCTGTTGAAGTATGTTTTTTTCGGAATTATATTATATTATATATAAATGCTTAGCTAATCAATAAATTTTGCATGTGCAAGGTATTTTGTTTCTTCTCTCTGTCGATTCATTTATTTGTTATAATATATATTTTTTTGTGTGGTTTTCGAGTTTATTGACCCAAACGGATAGTAATGATTTTTTATCGCCTGTGGGTCAGCAAAAAAAATAAAAATAAAATACAAATAAAAAAGACATGGTGTGGCGTTGTGGAGAAGGTTTCCAGGTTCCAAAGGTTAACAAAAAAGAAAGAAAAGAATTCGATGCAAATTACCTAAGCACATATCCGCCTCATAAATGGGTCGGGGCTCATTAGCGGAGATCTCTGGCGACGAAGGCGATGATTATAATTGTGATTATGACGATTATATAGGGGAGCACCAGCAGAGAAGTGCTACTGCCCACTTACGTCACCACGGGAGCCACAAGCAGCAGGCGCGGATACAGATACACAGATACAAAGATACTCAGATACATGGATACACGGATACACAACCGATACGGAGACTTTGAAGCTGCGAACGAGGCGATCCATATTTCTTTTTGATTGATCTACAGCCGAAGGCCGGCATGCAAAAATGCAATTCAGGCAGCGAGGAGCAGAGGAGCCACATCTCACATCTCTCACAAAAACCAGATACAGATACTCGCCGTCGCACCGTAGAGCGAAAAATAAATTTCAGTACAATTAGCAGTCGCTTATTTTTGTTTCGCATTTTTTCCTGACACGCTCGTTGACATGCAAAGTTACTTAAACCAAACAAAACAAAAACAAAACAAACATTACACGAGAAAATACTAAAACAAAAAACTAAAAGAAATCAAGAAGGAGGTCGTCGTCTACTTTTAACTACTTTGAAAGGTCGTCTTCTCGGGGGAAGGGGGTGTTCCCCACAAAAGTGGTAACTTGCCCGCAGTTGATATTAGAGACCGTTCAAAAAAAAAGGCAAAATGTACACACTATTTCATTTTTCCCCCATTTAAGTTTTTAGCTTTTTGTTTTTTTACCCACTCACGTCAATCACCATGAACATTGAGAAATTGTCTCTTTTGATAATTTGCTGATGGCGAATCTAATGTTCACTGACCGGGCATTATCATATTTTCGTACATTTTATGGCATTTTAAGCGAACTCTGGTCTTAATGGCAGTCATAAAACTGTGACTTTACTAACTCTAAAAAAAACAACCAGGAAGACAGACAGCTTTTCGTTAAACTGTGATTTACTAGCCATGAATCACAGTAATTAATTTGGTGATGATTCACGGGTAAAACGGTGATTTAAGCCAGACTTTTTGAAAAATTAGAGAACTAAAAATATACTTTTTAGCAAATTAAATTGTTTCTTTTATATAAAGACCATAAAAAAGTAAACGAACAAGAGAACTTGAGCCTTTTCCCTTGAAATTGAAATTTTCAACCGTGTGTCCGCTTCCGATCCCCACAAAATTTTCGCAGAATCGCAAAATTTTATAAAAACAAAGCTTTGCATTTATCTAAAATGCTTTTGCAATCACAAATTCTCTTTGTATATAAAAATATTTCAATAATTAGTAATTCATTAATATA